TTCATTAGAAAAAATATATGTTTATATATATATATATATATATATATATATATATATATATATATATATATATATATATATATATATATATATTCAATTTCAAAAAAATAAAGGGAACACTCAAATAACACATCCTAGATCTGAATGAATGAAATATTCTCATTGAATACTTTGTTCTGTACAAAGTTGAATGTGCTGACAACAAAATCACACAAAAATCATCAATGGAAATCAAATTTATTAACCAATGGAGGCCTGGATTTGGAGCCACACACAAAACTGAAGTGAAATGTTCCCTTTATTTTTTTGAGCAATATGCAACACCCCTCCCTCTCAAAGCTGCCATGCTCACAATTCAAATTTTACTTTAGTAGCCAATTTGATTCCCGCTGTGCCTTGTGCTGTAATGTTGTCATCCACCTGTCCTAGTAAAAAGGAAGGGAATTTATTTATTTTTGTGGAATAAAAATGCAAATGTGTTTTGCTAGTCTGAGAATAATAAAAAAGAATACTGCAGGCAGAGCTTCTTCTCTAGCTTTATTGCTGCAGTTTGGAATAAGATGAGATGTTGTTCTTTTAGATATCTCAGCCATGTGTTTTAATTAGAATATATGCCAAATGGACAATAAAGGAAAGCATATCCACATCCATGAGAGTAAACAGCTTGTATCCTTTGTGAAGATCTCCCACCACAAATAATGATGTGGAATCACTGAAAATGGACCAGTTTTCAGGGATTTTTAGAAACTGACATTGTTGCCATACAGGAGAAAATACCGTAGTTGTAACTGATAAAACGCCTTATCCTGTCTTAATTTTGTAAAGCTTATTCGAAGGTAAAACACTGATTGATAGGGGCAAAAAAAAAAATCATGTTGGTTTCATATTGGCTGTTGAGGTGTTTGGCGTTTGAGTCAAGTCTACAAATATTTAGTTAGATTAGAGCAGCGTACACCTAGATTTAACAAGCAGCCTCTCTATGTGCCAACTAAACCTAAAAATAAAGACATTGCACCTTCTGTTACATGGATCTTGCTTGTTGCCTTAGGGATCTTATGGATTTGCAACTGAAGTCACACAATGCAACACAACAGGCACCTGTCAGTATCTATAGTGACAGATGTTTCCCGCCTCCAGTGAAGAATGAAATCACTGTCCTGCTGTTTTGCTTTCTTATTGACATCCTATGCATTAAAAGCCATGCTGTAAAAGCCAAGCTGTCACGTTATTTCTAAGCAGAAGTCGCACATAGGTGAAAATCACGTGCATAAAGCTGCATGTCGAACACACAGAATGACAACTTAACTGCTTCTGGCGAGTAAGCATCCACAGCTGAGTGCAGATACTATTACATGCTAAAGAGACACTGGGCCTTTTTGTTACTGTCCATGCTGCTGCTTAGAAATACCATGAGCACACACATATATATGTATATATATATATATATATATACACTTTAGAGTTTTGTTTCAGGATTAGAAAGACATACAAACGCAGATGGAAGCACAAATACCCCCATAAATATTTTGCCGAGTGAGAGGTACTTAGGAGGAACAGGCTATCCTGCATGTAGACGGGTGGCCCTGCTGCTTTAATCTCAGCCCAAATGGCAGCAGACTAAGGGTAGCACAAATGCCTGAGGAATTGTTATCAGAGCCTCGCCAAATAAAATATATATAATTTAGCTGATGCATAATTTGGTTCAGGGCTGGCTTCTCATTAAAAGCCAGCCTGATTAGTTATCTAGTATGAAAAGGTGTGCACTGGACCCTTTCTCTGATTTAATTGAATTTAAAATATTAGCACCGAAAATTGTTAAAGCTAAAAAAAACAATATCATTCAATGATTTGCTCTTTTTCCTCTTCACCTGAAGAAGCTAACATTCTCAAACATTTGATATAGTTTTATGGATTAAGTTTAGGATTAGGGTATGAGTTGAGTTTAGGTTAGGATGAGGTACTGATAATTGTTAGGCTTAAGGTAAGTATCAATATTAGATTATAGAAATTGATGAAAAATGAATGGTCCCTCTGAAGGTAGAAAGACATGCTGCGTTTGCGTGTGTGTGGATCTATGTGTGAAGCGTCTGGGTTTTGATGAGAAAAAAATTTGCACAATTTCTTCTGCTACCATGAGGAAAATGTGTGAAACCAATGAGAAGTGGTTCATACATTTGCAAGAGGTGTCTTCTGCTCTGCTGAGATAGTGACGATGAAAACTGAGTGGATCCCAGTTTCTCTAAGCAGCTCAAAGCAATCAAGAAAAACCATAAAGAAATGTATGTGAAACAAGTAAAGATGTGTAATAGACATAGATCCAGGGCTACCAGGTATGACCACCCTTCATCTGCTGACCTTGTAAAGTCTAACTTTAGCTTCATGAACAGCGGTGAGGCCGTTCAAGGTCGTGCATGGTCAGAATTAATCACAGAGAGCAAACAGTCAGCCCCGAGAAGGCTCCGATTCAGGGTTATCTCTGTGCACTCATTCTAGCACCTCTGTCAACAGTCAGTTTTGACGAGCCCTGGCTGCTTTGTCGTCCTTTGTATGAGCTGCCAGCTTCCCTATTAAGAGCGCCACCTTTCCTTTTCAAGAAAAGCAAATCGACAAATGCAGCCTTAGTGGTTCATTAATAAAAGGAGCACATGTGCAGCTTGATAAAGGTTTTGGAATCCTAACAAAAATGATTTCTCCCTTTGTCAATGACACATTGATGTGAAAGATGTACTAGGTCTGTTTATCATATGTTTACTATATACTACGTAAAAAACCATTCTTGTGAAACTACTGTAGCTACCTGTCAATTTCAATTTCAATATCTCTTTGGGCTTTGGTTTGATAGATCTTTACCTGTTTCGGTTCACTGTACAAGTCTGAGCATTTGTGTGATTTAGTTAGAAATATTTGCCATTTTGCTGCATGAGTGCCAAAAAGAGTTGAAAGATAGATATTTAAAGCCAGTGAAGAAAGCAATTCGGTCTGATATCGAAAGCTTAGATATATTTTTTATCAAACAGAAGTGATTAATAGACAACAAAAATACTTCTGATCTGAAAATGTAAATAAAAAAACTGACGTACCGTTTATTTCCATGAGACTTGTGAACTGTGATTGACTAGAAATTAGAATAATTATCAGTGTTGTCACTTTCCATGCCAACAGGTTAAATACACAAAAGCAAACAAAGGCTTACTGATATATCTGTCAAAAATATCGGAATAAAAGACAAGGCAGCAAAGCAAATCTTTTAATATTTCAGAGAAAAAAGCCTGTTAGTATGTCAGAGATGACAAGATAATGGATACTGTGTGTTTGTTCCTCTGTCTGCTCTGTAATGATCCATATTTGAAGATGAGCTGAGAGAAATAATTCAAAGGACAACATATTTTGAAAAATGCCTGAAAGTGTAAAGTACAAACTATTAGATTTGTTAAGTGCATCCTAGGCTAAAGTGCTTTATTTCATTTGTACATTTAGTCATGTTACAACCACAAACTTTAATTTTGTGTGACAGACCAACACAAAGTCATGCGTAATTATGATGTGGATAGAAAATAAGAACGTAAATCTCAAGAGTGTACATGCATTTCCCCTTTTGTCTGAGACCTCCAAATAAAATCCAGAATCTACATTGCTTTTCCTGTAAATATTTTAATCTCAGTATAAATGAAGGTGCTCTGTAAAGACCCCCGAGGTTTGCTAGAGAACATATGTGATATGTGACGACGACCGAGAAACATCAATTGGGTAAAGTTGGAGTACTGTATTTAAGAATTATGGTACAAAACAATATCCTAAGCCCTGAACATCAGGAGCCCTGTTGAAATCATCATCTAAACATGGAATGTGCCTAATTCATTGCAAATCTAAAAAAACATGGCTGTTCACCCAGACTTACAGAACAAGGAAGGAGAATGTCAATCAAAGCAGATGCTAATAGTGCCGTGCTAACAATCATCTAATTGTCCAGACCTAAATCTGAGGATATTTGTTTGGGCTTGAAAAATTAAATTCCTGTTCAGAGATTCTCTCCATCTGATCTGACTGATCATAAGCTATAAGAAGAATGAGAAAAACTTCCCTGCCTTCAATATACAAAGCTGATGAAGACATACCATAAAGACGTGTTGCTTTGACTGAGTAAAAGATTGCTCTCCAAAGGAATGACTCAGGGAATGGGCTAAAACATACTCATAAAACACTTTTTTGGGGGGGAGGGGGGCTTCAGTTTTTCTTCTTTAAATTGAAACCCATGTATCATTTTCCTTCCACTTCACAAGTATGAACTACTTCATGCTGGTCTATCACATAAAATTCCAATAGCTTGTGATGAAGTCTGGCACTGTAAAAAGGAGGAACTGTGGAAGAGTCAAAGAGGCAGAAATACTCTATAAGACATTGTTTTCTGTCTCCATACATGGCAAAACTTTTGAATTCTGCAAACTGTTGATGAATTTTTAGTATTATTTTTGCTGCAGTCATTTAAACCCTAGGCCGTCTGAGGAATATGAATTATGCTTAATGTGTGTGTCAAGAGCAATAACTACCTACTACACTTTGTGTACCACATAAACAAAAGACAGCATGCTTCATCAACTATTTAATGCCTAACCACAGTGTGGTTTTCCTGTGTGTCAAGATCATTTTCATTTGATGCTGGTAAAGCCATCTGTTGCAGTCAGAAAACAGGTGTCCTTGCCTTTGGTATGTAAGACATGGTTCCTTTTGCTTCCACAGGACTACAATGACGAGATCAGGCAAGAGCAGCTGAGAGAGTTATCCCTGCTGAACGGATCAGACGAGTCGAGCAGAGGGAGGAGCACACAGGGGAGGAGCCTAAGGACAACGACAACAACAGCATCCACAATGTAAGGTGGCAACTTAGATTTGAACCGAAATAAATCGTTGAATAAAGCTGATGAGTGTTATGTGTGAAATCTGTAGTTTCCAATCACTATTATGATAAGTAAAAAACAGATAAGGTATATGTCTGGACTTAATTCAGAATGTAAATTGCTGTAAATAGAAATTCAAAGAATCGATTCGAAGAAAACGCGGCCATCAAGTCCATCAGATGTGAGCAACTTTAATCTACTGTTGCATCAGGTCACAATCTATCTTTAATCATTTACAAAATCTGGCTTTTTACCATAAACGCAGAGGAAAAGATTACGCTCAGTGCTTCACTATAACCGTAACTTGAACTTGGGTCACATCAAGTCAGTGGAACAAGTTGGTAAAATTACAATATTACTTTAAACCTAAATCTAAATCATTTGGGGCTCAACTATATATATTGTCAATATTAAGTTACACTTTTAGTTGTAGATGTCTGCTTATGAACGGATCAGACGAGTTGAGCAGACTGCAGAGCAGCAGGTCACTTTTTTTTTTCAATGTTTTTCCCATGTGTCAAAATTTCTCTTTGCTTTCAGGGGTCAGAGAATATTTCACATTGTCTTGCCTACCGCGAGCAACTGTGGTGTGGAGAGACAATACATTTTTATTGCCCTGTAATTTGCATGAATATGTAAATACGGGCATATTCTTTCCCTAAATGTGTGCATACTTGCTCATGTAAATAAAATTGCGCGAGAGCTTGGCAGCACAATTTCAGAAGCAGAATTTCCTTTGCTGCTCCATAAATATAGCTGTTTTCTAGAACACCTTCAAAAACAGGTCTTGAGTTTAAATTAGATTTATATTAAGTGAAGAGAAAGAGGGGAGACACATGGCTGTTCAGACCCACAGGAGGCGTATGAATATTTGTTAATCCTCTGACATTTATCAGCCGTAATGCGGCACGCTGTAAAATTCAATGGTCTTATGGATATTCTGGAGCTCAGCAGGATGTTGTGAACGAGGTACATTTCAATAACAAAACATGAAGTATCCACCTTCATGGTGAATTTTCAGATTAATTGGTTCTGTAGATTTTCTTTCCCGTATTTCAATTCAATTTCCACCGAGTTTCCTCGAGGGAGTTAGAGTTAAGTATTTAAAAAAAGGCATTTTTTTTTCCCATTACTTTTTTTTTTAATACCTTAATCATTCACGGTAGACAGAAATCTCTTCTCTTCCATGTCTCCAGAGTTTGGGGATCTAAGCGGCACCAGAAAAAAAAAAAAAAAAAAAAGCATTTGATTGACTTCGCCATATATTCAGCTACCTGCATGAAACACCTTTAAAGCAATTTGTCCGTAATCCACCTGAGCCGTGGCAGTCCCTTAGGAGAACGCGGGCACATTGTGCCATGACAGCATGGCCTGATTCAAGCAGTAGCTAAATCCAGCACAAACCACGGGTTGCTCCCGATTCAAAAAAACATCCCCACCACTTCCCTACCATGATTTTCTCCTCATACTGTAACGATAAGCAATTTTTCAAAGCTCCATGAAAAATATGCCACCAGAAATTCTGCTTTTGAGTATTTGTATTTTGGCTCCCAGTGCACTGCTACCTAGAGGAGGATGTGCCAGAGGGAAGGAAGGTGTTCTATCCCACCTACGGGAGAACGTTAAAAAGTGAGTTAACAATGCTACATCCTTAGCGGTGCAGCAGTGTCTCTGTGGAGCAATTGCTGGACAGTCACACTGTTATTAAAGAAACAATATGGCCTAAATTCCTCTTGATTGCCCCGGACCTCTGGCCTCTCTGCTGGCGCATGCAGTAATGCTGTTTATACCTGTGTGCCTGCAGCCTGAGGCAGGTGTTCTTGTACAAACAAAAAGGTACTGCTCAGTCTTACTGAAAGAATGGTGTTTCTCAGTCACATTTCGTGTAAGTAAAAACAAAATAAAGATACTAAAGAGTTCTCTGATGATTGTAAAAGTTACCTCAGTAGTTTTTTTTTGTTTGTTTGTTTGTTTTTTCCCCAGTTTATTTTACCTAGAGTTAAGAATGTTACAATCAGGCTATGCGTATGCCAAGATAAGAGATTTATTTCTGTCTTAATCCTACTTTCTTGCAAAAATAACTCCACCTTTGACAACAACAACAAAAAAAATGCTGTGAGGCAAGATTCTGAGTATATGCTTTTTTGTGTGTGTGTGCTTGTCTGTTTGTGCAGGGGCCACGGAGGTGCAAGCAGAAGAGCAGCAACACCACGAGGGACAGCCGCAGCCACACACAGCAAACTTCCCAAAACCGCTCTGACGAGGGACTTGCAAGCTCCAAGGGCCAGGGGGGCAGCAGCAAACGCCGGATACAGGCCCCCACTGTTAGCAGTCACACATGAATCATATGATGACTATGTAAGTCCAATCCTCTTTACTCAAATGCAGAAAGTCTCTCTGGTGGAAATTTGACTCAATCAGAAATGCTCTAATCCACTTCGATGTGCTCTGAATGAGTGTGGCTTTTTATGAATGCGCATCCTACGACGTGAGTTTGCAAAAAAATTTAAATAAAGCAATAAGAAATTATCCCTGATTTTAGTTAACATATTTTACTGTGTAAATTGCATACTCCAAAATAATTGTGGAGAATCCAAAAGATGCGCATAAATTTATTTGCAGCAGTAAAAGTCTGAAGTTCCAAGGATTCCAACTCAGACGTTGATGTATGAATGCACGGTTGTTGCAAACTAATTGTGGGTTCTGGCCTTTACACACACACACACACACACACCCACATGCACACACACACACAACTTTCAACTAAAAAGTGATTCAGCTTTGCAAAACTGAAAGTACTGAACTAAGCTGAAGTTTACTCCATAAACCACAAGTTTTGCTTCATAGTACCAATCTTTGATCATATTATGTATCTTATGGCATATTGCATATGATAAATAAGATAAGAACTATCCTGTGATACCACTTTTTGAACCTTGAAAAGGGAAATGAAACATTTTGGAAATTTGCTAATATGCATTCCACTGAGACGTTGGCTACAATGTGAAAAACATGTTATTGGTTCCAGTTCACCTTTCGTAAGCTTTCAGATCATACAGTCATTAAGAGTTTGGATAGTAAGTGATTAGTGGAATAGAAGAAGTGTCTAATGCTTATAAAACAGTAATCCTATATGTTACATGTTAGGAGCATCTAATAATATGGCATTTATTTACTGCCAAGTCCCAGATCTAAATTACCACATAGGTCGGTTGTCAATATTTAATATCATCACACTCTTAAAATAATGGCCTTAGTTGTTTTTCATAAAAGTGATTTTGGCAGGAAAAAAGAGACCTAGGCCATTATTTTACAAAGTTGACAATAATCTGTAATTATATTTATGAGTGTATCCCAAAGCTTTTATACAAAACTCATAGGAGATAAAACAATAAATGCTCCAATCTCTTTCAAAGTGAGTGAGCCTGATTTAGAGAGCATTATTGATGTTTTAACATTCTGCAATCAACTTTAAACCAATTTATTTAGAAAGCACCTTAAAAGCGACCGGTTTGACTTAAGTGCCGTCCAGCAAACAAAGCAAAACATTGCAAGAGCAAAAATTAAAAACTAATGCACAAAAAATTACATTAAGAGTCTTTGTTTTCATACATTTAGTTATTGGTGGTTCTCCTAATTGGAACACTGTTTAAATGTTTTTGCGTTATTTGACCTGCACCTGAACTTTAAACAGAGAAAGAATAGCAAAAGAAAGGATCGTTTAAAATAAACCACACACAAATATTGTTTTCCCTTGCTACACATTGGATACTATCAGAATCCAACAAAAATAGTAACATTACGTTTCAGTGCTTTGCATCCAAACAAGCAGATTCAAACTCATTTATCAGAAATAAACAATAACACCAAAATGATGAAAATGTGCAGAAGCATAAGGCACTGGTGTGTTAGTGCAATACAAAAAAGTACAATAAATAGTATTTCAAACAGACAGCTACAGGAATGTTGCAGAGCTGAGTTAGAAGAACACATCAATCAATACAAACAAACAGCATGAACAAATAAAAAGAGATATGTGAAATATTGTTCGATCAGGGACTAACAAGACACATCAATCCATTTTCTTCACTTGCGTCATCTTATTCAACAGCTGGAGGGCTGGTGCTTATGTCAGCCATCAATGAGAGGAGGACAGTGTACCACCTAAACAAGTTGCTGACACACACAAAAAAAAAGTCATTTAGAGTTGCCAGTTAACCTCAACGTGGATGTTTTAGACAGAGGAAAGGATCCGGAGTACTGCTGAGAAAAATGCACCACACACAAAAAGACCCAACTGAAATCATCCTGATTTTTAAATTCTAAGCACAATTATATTAAAGGGGGGGATTTATGTGAAGTTGACTTTTTTAAAACTGTATATCATTTTATTACCTTGTTAAAAAACATTGCTTTGATTATTTTATGCAACAGGGCGCATTTACATATGTGCTGTTCAAAATGATTATTCAATAAGAATCCCTTATTAATGAAGTGAAAATAAAAACATGCCTAAAAGGCCTGAAAGAACTTTGTGTGCAACAGAATCCCCTACTATTTGTTACTGTTTAGATCAAAGTAACATGTCTCTCAGTATGTCAGTGCACATGGGCAGAAAAGGCGTTGTGTGACTGCAGCCTAACAGAAGTCAAGTGAGTCGTCACATGCATTGAAAAAAACTGTTTCAAATGAGAGCAAAGAAAAAGCTATTTATGACTGAGTACACAGTAGCAGATTCTGACTAAATCAAGAAAACAATGAAGGTATTTGCTATGAACTTCAGATACACCAGTGGATCTTTAAGAGTTACAGCTTTGCATAGCATCTATAACTTGACTGGCAAGCACCTTTTCACAAGACATGAATTTTGTATTTGCATTTGCATTTACTTTGTCTGAGCTATTTTTCCCAGTGCCTAATAGAAGGGAGGGAAACTATGTTGGTCTCCAGAGTGGAAACCTAAATATTCACAGCTAGGATACGTCTGTTTAGCAAATGAAATTTACAAAACACCAGTATTATTCTTTAGGAATTAAATAAGCATATTGGTTTGAAGAATAAATCCCATACATTCTGGAAGGTGCCACTAAAGTTCTCCCAAAGGTAGCAGTATGTGCAAGAAGACACAAATCCATGAAGCCCTCGGCGGTAAATAGTTGGACCACTAAAATGCAAAAAGAAAGATCTTGATTAGCTGTCTGCAAAATCTCTCACATTACATAGTTCTGGGTTTCCATGTTGAAAAATTATGCAAGGCCAAAACTGAAAACAAGCTTGTCCTGAGATCTGAGGGATCTTTCAAGGTCATTTTACAAAGAGAACACCAGAAGTAAGCTCCGAGTTTCATCCAGATGAAAAAAGGCAACACTTTTACCAGTCTATTTCCTCAGCGCTTTCCTGCAAAGGAAGAAAAAAAAAAAACAGAAAGAACCCATGTGTGCAGGCAGTTGAAGATTGGGCTGTCTGCATGGGGAAATGCACAAGCGTAGACTCATTACCAAACCAAATTGAGTCCTGATGCAGAGCCTGTGTATTTCTGAGGAGCGAAAAAGCGAAGCATTTCTTCTCTTTGTAATTGGAGGTCGGGAAGGAGGCTGGAAGCAGGGAAACGAGGGGATTAAAGAAAGATGAGTTTGTCCTGAACATTCCCTTCTCTCATATCTCACTTTGCTGTTTTTTTTTTGTTTTTTTTACTACATTAAATAATTACATTTGAGCGTGCTTCAAGATTGTAACAGGATCATTTTTAACAAAGACCTGATTTAGCTTAATTTTTTATTCACCAAAGTTATTGAATCCTGCAATGCACAACTTTGGCATGGTTTCCCTTTTCCACCCAGTGCTTTCCTTTAGGAAAATATTATGTGCATGAGCATTATGTAGTTTCTCTAGAGGATATTCACTGGTGGATTTTTGTCAAACTGTCAATCTGCTTTATAAAGGTGATACTCAGAAAAAGTCTGAAAGTGTTCCTAATTGAGTGCGTTATTGATTTAAAACTCTGACGGAAAATTTTAGGAAGCTGGCTCTTATCATGTATCAGTGTTTGCGCTCTGGAGTTTGTGATCTCAGTGTTTTCCTTTTAATATCCTGCCACAAATCCGACTTTACTGGATCCTTTACAGCAATACTTTGTTTACTCCGTTCCTCCTGGAGCGCAGCACTTTGTGAAATGATTCTTGTAGTTTCTTTTTTTCCCCTCAACTAATCCCCGGGAGACTATAAAACCAGCTGAGAATTGATCCCACTAAGCACCGTCTGTGTAGTCAGAAATTAATATAGCTTATTCTTCTGAGCCACCATTCATTTCCAGTGCTGTGAAAACCACACATTGGTTTTCACAGCACTGGAAACCAATGTGATTCACATTCACTCACATTTAGTTTAAGACAACATGTTTCATGGTTACAATGTGCTATTGCTTTCTGCTGTATTTTTTTGTCAACTCCGTATAATCTACTCTGCTGTTGTTTTCAATAAGGCAATGCTTTTCATTAATAGATATTCAAAGAAAAACACAACAATTTAGAGTGGAATTACTCTTGAACTGAAAAATATGCCTTTGACACCATATTTACAAACACTCTTCCTGTGCTGCTTCTCTGATCGCCTGCACCTAATTCAACATTTCGTGGCTTTTTGTTTTTTTTCACTAATCCATCTTTAAAACTAAAGACTACCTGACTTTCTATGGCAAACGCATATCTGATTTATCTTAACGTAATTATAGAAATATCATGTCCTTGTTTTACAGTGCTACAATTTGAAAATTGTGTGGTTCTCTTAAAAGCTTGTAGGCAGCCAGTCTTACCTGCGGTACTTAACTCTTTTCATGACTTCATTTGGTATAAATCAAGATGAGCGTCTCCCGGTGGATTAAGCTAATGGCTAGCCCAAAAGCAAACTTCCTTAGGTAGGACATAGTGCAGCACCACTTATCTTCTGGAGTTTAATGTGTCATTTTGTTTCACATTCACGATATATATATATATATATATATATATATATATATATATATATATATATATATATATATATATATATAT